TTGTATTGTGTAAACAAATAAAAAGTATTTAAAATTCTACTGGACTCAAAAAATTTAAATTATAAATAAAAATTTCAGAAATTTCTTAAGCCAAAAAAAGAGCTTGTCATTTTTAATTTATATTGTAATGTAAAAAAAAACAACAAAAACCTTGTTGCCATTTTGAAATATAATTAGAATTATTGAAGGCTTGTTTACTAAACTATTTGCAATAAGGTCTTCTTTTTTTCTTCTAAATATGGCAACCTTGTTCCCAATAAATACAACAAAACCAGCGAGCAAGTGAATGAGTGAGTTGTTAGTGCATCTGGCATGTTCGTATTGTTTACAAACATTATTTATAAATAACTTTTTTTTTCAACACACATACACGCAGAATGCTTTACTTTACAATGTAATTAGAAAACTACACCAATGTAAATATTTACTAAATAACTACATATACAGTATTGAAAAGTGGACTACAGTCGGTGAGAAGAGGTATAGGTAGGATTCAAATATGATGAGTAACGAACTTTGAAATAATTTTATGAAGGGGATCTCACATGCGGGATAGGGTCAATTGTGGACTTAATTGAGGGTGGAAAAGGGAAAAGTTCATTCCCCTAGCTCTTTTCTTTCGGATTAATATCAGCAGAGAGATAGACGGAACATGGCTAGATCGTTCTAGAACCTAATAAGGACATAGAATAGAATGATTTGGCCATCTAGCCTCTTCGCCATTTAATATAGAAAATAGTGAGCAAGTTATCTAATTAATGTCAGGGTCAGTTAAGGCCAAGAGTTTCAAAACAATGACTATAGACTAGACTATAGACTGGACTATAGACTAGACTATAGACTAGACTATAGACTAGACTATAGAATAGACTATAGACTAGACTATAGACTAGACTATAGATCTAGACTATAGACTAGACTATAGACATACTATAGACTAGACTATAGACTAGACATAGACTAGACTATAGACTAGACTATAGACTAGACTATAGACTAGACTATAGACTAGACTATAGACTAGACTATAGACTAGACTATAGACTAGACTATAGACTAGACTATAGACTAGACTATAAGACTAGACTATAGACTAGACTATAGACTAGACTATAGACAGACTAGCACTAGACCTATAGAGAACTATAGACTAGAACTATTAGAGACTAGACGAGAGACTAGACTATAGACTAGACTATAGACTAGACTATAGACTAGACTATAGACTAGACTATAGACTAGACTATAGACTAGACTATAGACTAGACTATAGACTAGACTATAGACTAGACTATAGACTAGACTATAGACTAGACTATAGACTAGACTATAGACTAGACTATAGACTAGACTATAGACTAGACTATAGACTAGACTATAGACTAGACTATAGACTAGACTATAGACTAGACTATAGACTAGACTATAGACTAGACTATAGACTAGACTATAGACTAGACTATAGACTAGACTATAGACTAGACTATACTAGACTATAGACTAGACTATAGACTAGACTATAGACTAGACTATAGACTAGACTATAGACTAGACTATAGACTAGACTATAGACTAGACTATAGACTAGACTATAGACTAGACTATAGACTAGACTATAGACTAGACTATAGACTAGACTATAGACTAGACTATAGACTAGACTATAGACTAGACTATAGACTAGACTATAGACTAGACTATAGACTAGACTATAGACTAGACTATAGACTAGACTATAGACTAGACTATAGACTAGACTATAGACTAGACTAGACTAGACTATAGACTAGACTATAGACTAGACTATAGACTAGACTATAGACTAGACTATAGACTAGACTATAGACTAGACTATAGACTAGACTATAGACTAGACTATAGACTAGACTATAGACTAGACTATAGACTAGACTATAGACTAGACTATAGACTAGACTATAGACTAGACTATAGACTAGACTATAGACTAGACTATAGACTAGACTATAGACTAGACTATAGACTAGACTATAGACTAGACTATAGACTAGACTATAGACTAGACTATAGACTAGACTATAGACTAGACTATAGACTAGACTATAGACTAGACTATAGACTAGACTATAGACTAGACTATAGACTAGACTATAGACTAGACTATAGACTAGACTATAGACTAGACTATAGACTAGACTATAGACTAGACTATAGACTAGACTATAGACTAGACTATAGACTAGACTATAGACTAGACTATAGACTAGGACTATAGACTAGACTATAGACTAGACTATAGACTAGACTATAGACTAGACTATAGACTAGACTATAGCTGACTATAGACTAGACTATAGACTAGACTATAGACTAGACTATAGACTAGACTATAGACTAGGACTATAGACTAGACTATAGACTAGACTAGGACTAGACTATAGACTAGCCTATAGACTAGACTATAGACTAGACTATAGACTAGACTATAGACTAGACTATAGACTAGACTATAGGACTAGACTATAGACTAGACTATAGGACAGACTATAGACTAGACTATAAGACTAGACTATAGACTAGACTATAGACTAGACTATAGACCTAGACTATAGACTAGACTATAGACTAGACTATAGACTAGACTATAGACTAGACTATAGACTAGACTATAGACTAGACTATAGACTAGACTATAGACTAGACTATAGACTAGACTATAGACTAGACTATAGACTAGACTATAGACTAGACTATAGACTAGACTATAGACTAGACTATAGACTAGACTATAGGACTAGACTATATAGACTAGACTATAGACTAGACTATAGACTAGACTATAGACTAGACTATAGACTAGACTATAGACTAGACTATAGACTAGACTATAGACTAGACTATAGACAGACTATAGACTAGACATAGACTATAGACTAGACTATAGACTAGACTATAGACTAGACTATAGAGTAGACTATAGACTAGACTATAGACAAGACTATAGACTAGACTATAGAGTAGACTATAGACTAGACTATAGACTAGACTATAGACTAGACTATAGACTAGACTATAGACTAGACTATAGACTAGACTATAGACTAGACTATAGACTAGACTATAGACTAGACTATAGACTAGACTATAGACTAGACTATAGACTAGACTATAGACTAGACTATAGACTAGACTATAGACTAGACTATAGACTAGACTATTGACTAGACTATAGACTAGACTATAGACTAGACTATAGACTAGACTATAGACTAGACTATAGACTAGACTATAGACTAGACTATAGACTAGACTATAGACTAGACTATAGACTAGACTATAGACTAGACTATAGACTAGACTATAGACTAGACTGTAGACTAGACTATAGACTAGACTATAGACTAGACTATAGACTAGTCTATAGTCTAGTCTATAGTCTAGTCTATAGTCTAGTCTATAGTCTAGTCTATAGTCTAGACTATAGACTAGACTATAGAGTAGACTATAGTAGACTATAGACTAGACTATAGACTAGACTATAGACTAGACTATAGACTAGACTATAGACTAGACTATTGACCAGACTATAGATTAGACTAGACCGAGAACTGTAACATATCAGTAAACATGTAGGGTGCATCAGAAAAAAACATTGTTGCACTAGATAAGATCTAGGAATGAAAAATATGAAATTTTATTAAAACAAATATTATAATACAGCTTTTTTCTATTTTTTGCAATGTAATAAAATACATATTTTGTTAAATAAATGTTTAACAACAAAAAATAATTTTGAGTGAAAAGGACATAGAAAACTAATTGCAACAGATGATGGGCAAATACTGACTACAAAGTTACAGTTGAGTGAATGTATGAGTGACACTGTGTGCATAAGGTGCGAGTGGGTGGTGTATAAGATCTACTAATTACGTTATACGTTTTCTTGTTAAAACAAAATTAATGTTACTGCAGTGCAAAAATATTTTACTCATAATCAAATGTATGTAGTTACGAACACACACATACTCAATTTTTCTAAAAGATAAATACTGATTGTTTACTTTTTTTTTTGGTTTTTGTTGTTGTTTTTTTTTTTTTTTTTTTTGTTATTGTAAAATTTATTTACTGATATATAGATACATGAGTAATATATATCATCATATAGGGTTTATTGAAAAAAATTTCACGGGAAATTGTATAAGGATTAGAGAAAAAGCTTACTACACACAATAGACGATAACTTGGAGAAGACTACCAAATCCATCATATTTTGAATAATCCTAAAATATTTCCCAAAATGTATCATATCACCAATTTCTGCTAAATTTAAAGAATATTTCCTCAAATACTTTAAAAGTAAAGAATTTATTACTATATTTGCAACGGGAATACCTTTCATCGAAACCCCTAAACAAGAATCCCATTATAATTAGACATTGCATTCTGTGCTCGCTCTATACTATAGTGTCTATAGTATAAATGAAATTTGCACGTCGGTTTGCGACCTGGTCTACGTCATTTCATGTTTCTTTGTTGCTGTTTTTTCTCAGTCTTCTATTCTATAGAGTCTATAATATTTTTTTGACGTTAATTAAGTTTCATGTGTTGTAGGTTAAGGTTTATTTTTGTGTTCTTTTTTTATATTTTTGCACAATTTTATTTTTATTGTGTTTGAGCATCTACTTTTTTTTTAGCAATTTGTTTGTTTATTTCAATATTAGAAAAACTAAATTATAAATACATAGTTAAAATGTTATAAAAACTTACCATTTAATAGCCATTACAGTTCTCAGTAGAGTCACAGTTGCAGGAACTTATAATCCTTAAGACATTTGAATAGTTGAGATTTATGTAAGATTTTTGATAAAATGTTTTGTAAAATTTTTTTAACACAATGACATTTTCGTGAAAATGATTAAATTCAATATTTTTAATTAATTGTTAAAATATTAAATTTCACTTTTCTTTATTTTTTTTTATTTTACACTTAATTTTAATTTAAATTATTTTTCTTTAATTTTTTTAATAATTTTCGCAATGCGTAATAATTTTATTGGAACACATAATTTAATTGGAATTATTTTAATAATACTTTAAAAATTAACATATTTTTGCATATAAATTATTTTTATAAAACAATAAATTAATTATATAAAACTTAAAAAGGATTTTCAAAAATGTAAACACTGATTCACATTATGCTGGGTCAATAAATATAAAGAAGAGATCTGAAAATAAAATACATAAAATCATTAGAAAATGCTGAAAAAATATAAATAAGTATTTTAAAGCGATTAATTAAGATTTAATTTAACTAAATTTAATTAAAAATAACATTAAAATAGAATTCGAGACTTCTAACTGTATATACAGTTCTAGTTCAGTTCTAGTTCAGTTCTAGTTCAATTCTAGTTCAGTTCTAGTTCAGTTCAAGTTCAGTTCAAGTTCAGTTTTAGTTCAGTTCTAGTTCTAGTTCAGTTCTAGTTCAGTTCTAGTTCAGTTCTAGTTCAGTTCTAGTTCAGTTCTAGTTCAGTTCTAGTTCAGTTCTAGTTCAGTTCTAGTTCAGTTCTAGTTCAGTTCTAGTTCAGTTCTAGTTCAGTTCTAGTTCAGTTCTAGTTCAGTTCTAGTTCAGTTCTAGTTCAGTTCTAGTTCAGTTCTAGTTCAGTTCTAGTTCAGTTCTAGTTCAGTTCTAGTTCAGTTTCTAGTTCAGTTCTAGTTCAGTTCTAGTTCAGTTCTAGTTCAGTTCTAGTTCAGTTCTAGTTCAGTTCTAGTTCAGTTCTAGTTCAGTTCTAGTTCAGTTCTAGTTCAGTTCTAGTTCAGTTCTAGTTCAGTTCTAGTTCAGTTCTAGTTCAGTTCTAGTTCAGTTCTAGTTCAGTTCTAGTTCAGTTCTAGTTCAGTTCTAGTTCAGTTCTAGTTCAGTTCTAGTTCAGTTCTAGTTCAGTTCTAGTTCAGTTCTAGTTCAGTTCTAGTTCAGTTCTAGTTCAGTTCTAGTTCAGTTCTAGTTCAGTTCTAGTTCAGTTCTAGTTCAGTTCTAGTTCAGTTCTAGTTCAGTTCTAGTTCAGTTCTAGTTCAGTTCTAGTTCAGTTCTAGTTCAGTTCTAGTTCAGTTCTAGTTCAGTTCTAGTTCAGTTCTAGTTCAGTTCTAGTTCAGTTCTAGTTCAGTTCTAGTTCAGTTCTAGTTCAGTTCTAGTTCAGTTCTAGTTCAGTTCTAGTTCAGTTCTAGTTCAGTTCTAGTTCAGTTCTAGTTCAGTTCTAGTTCAGTTCTAGTTCAGTTCTAGTTCAGTTCTAGTTCAGTTCTAGTTCAGTTCTAGTTCAGTTCTAGTTCAGTTCTAGTTCAGTTCTAGTTCAGTTCTAGTTCAGTTCTAGTTCAGTTCTAGTTCAGTTCTAGTTCAGTTCTAGTTCAGTTCTAGTTCAGTTCTAGTTCAGTTCTAGTTCAGTTCTAGTTCAGTTCTAGTTCAGTTCTAGTTCAGTTCTAGTTCAGTTCTAGTTCAGTTCTAGTTCAGTTCTAGTTCAGTTCTAGTTCAGTTCTAGTTCAGTTCTAGTTCAGTTCTAGTTCAGTTCTAGTTCAGTTCTAGTTCAGTTCTAGTTCAGTTCTAGTTCAGTTCTAGTTCAGTTCTAGTTCAGTTCTAGTTCAGTTCTAGTTCAGTTCTAGTTCAGTTCTAGTTCTAGTTCAGTTCTAGTATGAGCTACCCATTCAAGCAGACTTAACAAAAACACATGAGTTCAAATACCGACTCAGTTCATTTTTTTTTTTAAATTGTATCAGAGATATTTCTATGCACTTATATCTCTAAATATAATTTAATGTACATAACCAAGCAATTTATACATTGTATTTTCAAAAGAACCAAAAATTCTTTGTTTGTTTCTTTTTAATATTTGGAGGTCAACCAACCTTGAATCCAAACAGCAAGCATTTTTTGTGACCTTGACTTTTGGCATAAAGTGCAAAAATTTTCACCTTTATTTAAATGCAAAAAAAAAAATACATTTGAATATTATTTTCTCTAGAGACATTTAAGCAATAAAAATCTTGCACTCCTTGAATTTTGTTGCTCCTAACATTTAGCACTATTACAGCCAGGCAGGCACTCCTTACTCTGAGAATAACAAAAATACTCCTTACACTTTCCCTTTATAAGAAAGTGCGAAACAATTCTTAGCAATGGGTATGGTTTATTTGCAACAGCAATTTTTCGTAAGAAAAACAAAAAATAAATACAAATTGTACAAAAAAACTGTAGACATTTTTAGTTACACCGCCAGCAGCAATTCCTATAAATATTTAAAAGGATGTGTTTGCTGCAACCATATTTTGCGTTGTACTTTTTTGTTATTGCCAAGACACGTCCTTGTTCGTCTTTGTTTACAAACAAACATTTTATGTGTGCAATAAAATATGTAGAGTCAAAGGAAGAAAAACGAAAAAAAAAAGGATTTTCGTAAAATGTTTTTGCACAACATCTTCTCTATTAGATGATGTGTTTTTTGTGTTTATGGCGTTTTAGGGGGCGTCAAGCCTTAGTTCATATATAGACAAATATTTACTGGTGACCTTCAAAACGTTTCTTTACTCCTGAGAAGGCAACCAAAACCACCTTTGTATCATTTATGCCAGCCAGACAATCAAACCAAAAGATAGAGAGAGAAAAGTATTGAAATAAAACACACACAAAAAAGGACAATGAACTGAATTGAGTGTATGTGTGTGTGTGTGCGAATACGTTTAATAACAACTGGTTTGTTGTTGGATTTGTTCGTCTTGTCTTTTGGAACAAAAACAATAGATACTTCCAGACACTCGTATATCGTATACATTAGAGGTAAGGAACTTTTGTACATGTTTTATTGGGTGGCAGAAAGGAAGGTAGGAAGCAAGACAAGGATAATGATGATGTTATTAAACTTCCAAATATGAAGGTCACTTGTATTATTTCTTTAAGAGTAAAAATAATTATTTCTTTGTTATTTTTATACCCTTATTGTGTGTCGCCTTAAATGTGAATTAAAGAAATTAATAAATTAAGTGGTAAAATTTGAGGGAATTTTGTTGGTCGAATTTTAAATTATATTAATATTTTAAGCGAATGCATTAAAAGTCCTTAAAAGTTTCAGTTCCTAATTCAAAGGAAGGTCGCCTATACGGGTAAGAGAACTCCAAATATAACATACACCAAAGTTAAGAGCAATTTACATTAGGACATGCCTTCTTATATTCAATCTTTGTGGTACTAATTCCAATAATAAAACGGATAAAAAGGTCTCCGTATTCGGATCTAGATGTTCTATCAAAGTTCGGTGCTTGCACTATAATAACACAGGCCGATTGAGCAGCACTGAAATTCCTGAATTCGAATCTGAACTCTGAATTTCTCCATCACATCTTGAATTCGAGATATGGTGCCCTAAAGTTTGGAAAAATTAAATTTTTGGCCTCTTTTTAAGACGTTATAACAGTGCCAAGACAACTTATTTTATAAAATGTTTATGTTTAGGTGAAGATATCACGAAAATGAAATGAGATATGTCAGATTTCATTTTATATATAAAGTTGTCTTGGCGTTATCATAATGTTTCAAAATGTGCCAAAAATTGCTTTTTTTTTCAAACGTCAGGTTACGATATCTCGAATGGAGAAATTCTGAGAATTTAGGGTAGTTCATTCCTTTAGAAAAGTATACTAGTTTGGGTTGCAGAAATAGCAGAAATAGCAGTCTGTGTTCTTGACATTTTTCTGTATAACCTTGTTCTTGAGTAATCGTAATCGATCCAATGCAGACATAGAGCACGGATTTAGTTGTATTTATATACTTCAAAATCTATCTATCGCGTTTAACTCACATCATCAATGCGCAATGCTTGACAATGGCTCTGAGCTAGACATGAACTAGAGACAACCTACCACTGAACCGTTGCATATCTTCCGAAAAATATCTGGCACATTAATTTTGGTTATGCAGGTGAGCGAGCGCCGTATACCACTGATTCATCCTAAATCTCATTTAACATTAACTTATTGCCAACATTTAGCATCACTGTCACTCCTCTGATGGATCTCTGTCTTTACGGCAACAGTTCCGAACTCATTCCGAAATGTAAATTTCACAGTCCATCAGTCTTTAAAACAACATTGTAATACCGCGATTTTGGTTTAACCATAAGCAGTACAAGACAAAGTCAAAAACGCTGTATAGGGGTTATCAGTTCCAGTGATACCAGATACTATAACTAACTAACTAACTAACTAACTAACTAACTAACTAACTAACTAACTAACTAACTAACTAACTAACTAACTAACTAACTAACTAACTAACTAACTAACTAACTAACTAACTAACTAACTAACTAACTAACTAACTAACTAACTAACTAACTAACTAACTAACTAACTAACTAACTAACTAACTAACTAACTAACTAACTAACTAACTACTAACTAACTAACTAACTAACTAACTAACTAACTAACTACTAACTAACTAACTAACTAACTAACTAACTAACTAACTAACTAACTAACTAACTAACTAACTAACTAACTAACTAACTAACTAACTAACTAACTAACTAACTAACTAACTAACTAACTAACTAACTAACTAACTAACTAACTAACTAACTAACTAACTAACTAACTAACTAACTAACTAACTAACTAACTAACTAACTAACTAACTAACTAACTAACTAACTAACTAACTAACTAACTAACTAACTAACTAACTAACTAACTAACTAACTAACTAACTAACTAACTAACTAACTAACTAACTAACTAACTAACTAACTAACTAACTAACTAACTAACTAACTAACTAACTAACTAACTAACTAACTAACTAACTAACTAACTAACTAACTAACTAACTAACTAACTAACTAACTAACTAACTAACTAACTAACTAACTACTAACTAACTAACTAACTAACTAACTAACTAACTAACATACTAACCAACTAACTAATAATATTTGAGAGGTCACCCCTCGACACCTAAAAATGGAACCCTAACTTTTCTGAACTAATGACTTGCAATAAAAAGTGTTTAACGCATTGCACTCTCGGCATTATATTCCTCCTTCAACAGACCACTTGACACTTTCTAAACTCTCGAAAAGCCTAAGAAGCCTGTGTGGCTAAACAAATTTTAATATTAACTATTTAAAATTGTATTTCACCATTAATTGTAACTATTTGTAAAATAATACCCATCATTTGTTTTTGT